AGGATACAGCTCCAGAGTCACTCATCTTTGAAAAGTTTTGTCAAAGCGTGTGGTTCTGTTTGGAGAGGTAAGTGATGTGCTGCTCCATCAGAGGTACCAACTACTTCATGGCTCTTTGTTGTGATGACGTTTACGGTGACATCAGCTCCCATTGGACACCTCATTGGACATTTTCTAACATGTAACAGCTGACTTGTGTCTTTTATGAAGTTGTTTTAGATTATATTTAGATTAAAACTACATGGAAAACACAAGCCCAGAATCAGATAAGAGTCCACGCTAAAGCTGCTTTGCTTGATTTTTACTTGAAAGCATGAACCACACTTTGACAGTTTATAAGTGCTTTTTACAAAGAGACCATTATGGAAAACAACTAGCATGCTAACACAATGCACACAGTACACAACAGGTTTTATTTTGATGTCAAGAGGTGCTTATACAATATATCTGGGACTAGAAACAGACAAACACATGGGACAAAATCGGGAGTCCATCCATTTTCTTCCGCTTATCTGTGGCTGGGTCGTGGGGGCAGTAGTCTAAGCAGGGATTCCCAGACTTCCTTCACCCCAGACACTTCAGCCAACTCCTCCAGGAGTTCCCAGGCCAGCCCAGAGACATAGTCCCTCCAGTGTGTCCTACGTCTTCCCCGGGCCCTCCTTCCTGTGGGACATGCCCGGGGGAGGCGCCCAGAAGGCAGATGGCTCCTCTCGATGTGGAGGAGCAGTGACTCTACTCCAAGCTCCTACCGTGTGACTGATCTCCTCACCCTATCTCTAAGGGAGCACCCAGGAAACTCAGAGGAAACTCATTTTGGCCGCTTGTAGCCATGATCTTGTCTTTTTGGTCATTAACCAGAGCTCATGACCATAGGTGAGGGGAGGAACGTAGATTGAGAGGTAAATCATCACTGCTGAAACTGCAACGATCAGCCTGTCAATCTCACTGTCCATCCTCCCTTCACTCGTAAACAAGACCCCGAGATACTTGAACTCCTCCACTTGAGGTACGGACTCCTCACCCACCTGGAGAGGGCAAGCCACCTCCTCTGATCGATCTCCTCTGATTGATCTTCATCAGTCAACAATTCCAGTATTAAAATGTTTTATTCATGTGTTTTCTACTTTGTCATTCTACATCATCATGCATGCAGCTCACAGTGGAGATCGCTGACAAAATAGTAATAAAAATATGAGACATATATGGACAATATCTGACAATATGAGAAAGTGAGTGTTTAACCATGTGTCTATTTTTGTTTGAATGAAAATAATAATGAATAAATCAATAAATCACTCCATAAATTTGAACCATATCCAGTCTAGATGAGCACATTTCCCACTGCAGAAACCAAATTCTTTCTCCCACTCGGCTGGAGCCCTGGAGGTCATGTGCAGCTCAGAACATCCAGCAGGGAGGGGAGCAGGACAGAGTGAAGAAGAGAGAGAGAGAGCGAAGAGAGAGAGAGCGTGTGAAGAGATAGAGATAGACAGATAGAGAGAGAATGGAGAGAGAGAGAGATAGGAAGAGGGAGCAGGGAGAAAGAGAGAGTGGAGAGAGAGAGGGAAAGACAGAGAGGAGAAGGAGCTGGGAGAGAGTGAAGAGACAGAGAGAGAAAGCAAGAAAGATAGAGGGAGTGATGAGAAAGTGAAGAGAAAGAGAAATAGAGTAGAAGGAGCAGTGAGACAGTGAAGAAAGAAAGAGGGTTAGAGAGAGAGTGAAGAGCGAAGGCCAGAGAGTGGGAGAGAGAGGAGAGGGAGCAGGGAGAGAGTGAAGAAAGAGAGCAGGGTAAAGAGAGAATGACGAACAAGTGGAGTGAGAGGGAGAGAGAGGAGAGGGAGCAGGGAGAGAGTGAAGAGAAAGTGAAGAGAAAGAGAGTAAAAGAAGCAGGGGGAGAGTGAAGAAAGAGAGGTGGTAGAGAAAGAGTGATGAGAGAGAGTGGGAAAAAGGAGAGGGAGCAGGGAGAGAGTGATGAGAGAGAGACAGAGAGTAGAAGGAGTAGGGAGGGAGAGAAGAGAGAGGGGTAGCGAGAGAGTGAAGAGCCAGGGAAAGGAAGTGGGAAAGAGGAGAGGGAGCGGGGAGAGAGTGATGAGAAAATGGAGCTAGAGGGAAAGAGAGTAGAAGGAGCAGGGAGAGAGTGAAGAGCAAGGAAGAGAGAGTGGGAGAGAGGAGAGGAAGCAGGGAGAGAGTGGTGAGTAAGTGAAGAGAGAGAAAAAGAGAAAGAGAGCAAAAAGAGCAGGGACGGAGATAAGAAAAAGAGAGGGGTGGAGAGAGAGTGAGAAAGAGCAAGGGAGCAGGGAGAGAGTGATGAGAAAGTGAAGAGAAAGAGAGTAGAAGAAGCAGGTAAAAGGTGAAGAAAGAGAGAGGGTTAGAGAGAGAGTGAAGCTCAAGGGAGAGAGAGAGTGATGAGCAAATGAAGAGAGAGAGAAAGAGAGTAGAAGGAGCAGGGAGAGAGTGAAGAGCAAGGGAGAGAGAAAGTGAGAAAGAGGAGAGAGGGTAGGGGGAGAGTGATGAGAAAGTGGAGCAAGAGAGTGGGAGAGAGAGGAGAGGGAGCAGGGAGAGAGAGTGAAGAAAGAGAGAGGCGTAGAGGGAGAGTGAAAAGAGAGGGGAAAAGAGAGAAGGAAAGAGCGAGAGAGAGAGAAAACAGTAGAGGGAGCAGGGAGAGAGTGATGAGAGAGTGGGCGAGAGAGGAGAGGTAGCAGGGAGTGAGAGAGAGTTGGAGAGAGGAGAGGGAGCAGGGAGAGAGAGCGAAGAAGAAAGAGAGAGGAGGAAGAGAGAGAAGAGAGAAGGAAAGAGAGCGAGAGAGAGAGGGGAAAAGAGCAGAGGGAACAGGGAGAGAGAAAGAGAGTGGGAGAGAGGAGAGGGAGCAGGGAGGAAGTGATGAGAGAGTGGAAGAGAGAGGAGAGGGAGCAAGGAGAGAGGAAAGAGAGAGAGAGGAGAGGGAGCAGGGAGAGAGAGAGAGTGGGAGAGAGAGGAGAGGGAGAGAGTAATGAGAAAGTGAAGAAAAAGGAGCAGGGAGAGAGTGTTCAGAGAGTGGGAGAGAGGAGAGGGAGCAGGGAGAGAGTGATGAGACAGTGGGAGAGAGAAGAGAGGGAGCAAGGAGAGAGGGAGTGAAGAAAGAGAGAGGGAGAGAGAGGGGAGGGAGCAGGGAGAGAGTGATGAGAGAGTGAAGAGAAAGAGAGTAGAAGGAGCAGGGAGAGAGTGAAGAAAGAGGGAGGGGTAGAGAGAGAGAGTGAAGAGCAAGAGAGAGAAAGCGGGAAAAGGAGAGAAGGAAAGAGAGCAAGCGAGAGAGAGAGAGGAAAAGAGGAGAGGGAGCGGGGAAGGAGAGAGTGCAGAGGGATAGAGAGAGGGAGCGGGGCGAGAGGAAGAGCTGTGTTTACCTAACTCCATCATCTTCCTGCATTTATTATTCATGCAGTCATCTACTTCCATCACTTCAGAGGCACACCTTACACAGACTTTCCCCAAGACACAGGCTCCACAGACAGAGCCACAGAGCCACGCTTTCACTCCTCACACACACACACACACACACACACCAACACACACACACGAAGAACACACAACTGAGCAAAAACGACTTTCTGTCACATTTCATCAAAAAAACTGGTCTTTTTTTTTCCAACAACTTTTACTTCTGGACACCATTCTTACATGAAATACTGACATTTGTCTCTTCCTGTGTTTTGTAATATCGGAGTAACATTCAGGTATTTATTACATTACCGTAGATGCACTTTTCCTTATTGCCACTGTCAATTATTAAAGGAATTGCTCAGCTCTTTATAACACTATGGCATTCCAAGCATGTTCACAACAAACACGTGCAACTGCTGACTGTCACGTTAATGCTCATAATCACGTCCTTTTAAAATCATAATACATAATAATTAAGACGCATTCTGGCTAAATAGTACTTTTTAGGATTTTGGGTTTATGCATTCGCCTCGACATGCCCCTGGACAGACTGACGGAATAGATCGTTCGCGTACTGACACACTGTTCAGCGCGAGACGGGGTGGGCGAAGTGTCTTGCCTAAGGACACAATGGCGGTGCATGCACTTGTGAAAGGATTGCACGTTTGACTTTTTATGGTGCGTCTCGTTTGCATGTACTTTCGATCGCTTTTGCTTGCACTTCAAATGTATATTATGCATATTCAACAAAGAAAGCACCTTCATGCATTGAATAAACATGTCATAAAAGGATAAAATAATGTTCAAATTCTTTAATATCTTGTTAAAATTACAGTTTTTCTTGGTTTCACTGCATCTTAAAGGTACTATGTTACACAAACTTGACTCTTGTGAGCTTTAAGTTGCGTTAAATGTTATTACCTCCACAAAAAAGTACCTGAATTTGTGTTTTGTTTCATTCAAACACATCTGAGTAATTGTGGTTTATTAGTCTGTCCACATCTCCAAACCTCAAAATGCTCTGTTCCACTTAGTGATGTCATGTAGTTGTAGTTTTCTAACTAACAGCTCCTTTTACCTTTTGTTGTTTTGTAGAAATTGGCAATTCCAGGGCTGAAATTATCCAAATGATTCTAGTGAAAGCGCCTGGAGTTTAAAAACACAATGGAGCATTCCTGTATTACCACATGACATCACAAAGTGGGACAGAGCATTTTCCATTTGAGAGAAATGCTGAGCCTAAATATGCACGTTTTTTTGTGTGTGAAATGCGTGAATGAAACAAAACACAGCTCCAGGTGTGTTTCAGATGAGGAAACAAGATTATAACAGAGATCAGAAAACAGTGTAATATGAGCTCTTTAACCTGCTAAAAAAAAAAAAAAACCCAAACACCTTCACTCGTTCAATTAACAGTAAACAAAGCAAGTATTTCTGTTCTTCCCTTTCCTCAGATAAAGGGTTGCTGGTGTGAGGAGGAGGAGGGGAGGGGGACTGTCCGGGCTGTGGGCGTTGAGCCTGTTGAATGGCGACGATGGCCGATGACTCAGGTGATGTGTCATACTCCGCTATAAAAGGGAACTTTTACATTTGTCCGCACCATAACAAACACACCACAACTCACTGTACACACACGAGCAGGGCACAGGGACCAGGACGGGACTCGCAAAATGAAAAGTAAGTTTGGGAACACGACTCAACAGCTCTGAATTTGTGCGTTACAGAGAGAGAGAGAGGCAGAGGAGAGAGGAGAGAGGAGGGGAGGGGGGGGAGAGGGAGTACACGTGGGTTAGTTTGAGCGCCTTAAGCTCTCAACAGCGGAGACTGGGGTTAGCAATTAAAACATGATTCACGGTGTTAACGAGAGATACTGCAGTGTAATTAGTCATTTGTAATTAACAGTTTAGGCTCAATTAAGCTTTGGATGTAACGTTATATTGTTATGTAATAATCATAAAGCTAAGACTTGCTAAACTATTGTAAATCAATTATGATTTGCTGCTACTTTAAAGCTGATTCAAGTTTGTGAATGGGGTTTAGGTTGTGTAAAGTTTACACAAGTATCTGAGCAAGTTACAACTGTTTATGTAAGGTATGTAAATGCAGTAATCGGTCAGCAGTTTTGAAATTGCTGGTACTTCAAATGGATGTAGATAGTAATATGTTGTGTAAAACTATTGTAAATCATGTTATTACACTGGTATCGTAAAGTTGTCAAGTTCATACAAGGAATTGAGTAAGTTACAGTTGTAAAGTTATGTAAAGTTTTGTAGTAACTTAGAAGCTGAAGTGCTGAAAATAGGTTAATAGTTTATGTTATGAAAAGCTGATTTGTTGGTTTAAATAGATTCAGATTGCAGATTTTAATGTTATTTCGTATCAAAAGTGTGTTAATATTTGAGTTTAGTTAAGTTTCTATTGGCCAGTGGTAATTTGTCATTAGTTGTAGTAGTAGTAGTAGTAGTAGAAGGAGTAGTCACTTCAAAGGAGAACAGGTACTGAAGTTAAAATGTCGTATGATTTGTGTGGTACTTATTGCGTGCTTTGATGCTCACTTGTGGGTTTATTAATCATTCGTAACGGGATCAAGTGGCTCTGAAGTTCACACATTTGGGTGTAATGTTGATGTAAGATTATGTGGTCATTATGGGGAGTTTGGAGAAGGAGACAGGAGCTATGATTTCACAGGAGCTGAAATGTTGGGATGACAAATGTCCAAGGGTTTTTGTGGTTGCTTATGTGGCTCAATTTCACATTTGGAGTAGATTTTTCAATAACGTTTTGGGATTTTTGTGTTTATAGAGGATTATACAGCGGTTGTCAGTAGAAATTTGTAGTAGTAGTTGTGTAAGTACAGTTTGTTTTACTTATACTTACAAGCTACTAATATTTGTAAAGATAGCTTCCAATAACTTTGTATAGTAGTAGTAGTATCTGCAGTTGTAGAAGTAGACCGTAAATACATTCTTAAAGTGTCTTTTAAGTGATTTTGAGAAATAAATTAGGTTAAATTTGTTACTCGTAAGATTTGAGCATTTTTGGTAATAGTTTGGAGGAGTAAAAACATGAAATCTTAGAAATTGTGTCTGGTACTACAAATTAAGTATTGAGATTAAAAGAGAAATTTTGAAGATATTTTTGGTAGTTGTCTAATTTTGTATTTTGGAAGTGTATTCATTCATGACATTGTTGGCGTTTTTAAGAATAACTTTCTATTTACAATTACATATTTAGGATTTGCACTTTCAATACAATATATAATGTAGCATTTGTATGATTCAAACCAGTAAATATATGAAAATAATTCTCAAACTCTTGCTAAAAACTTTGCCAAAAATGAAATGATTCCCATAAATTCTCATGACTGCAGTATTGAACTACAGTGCGTACGTGAATTAAATCCGATATCATGATGGGAGATCCTCGAGCGTCACTCTTTCACTCTTTGCTGGTGGTCCCGATGATGATGAGACAATATTCGGGGCCCCCAGGACTTCAGCTGGGGACCACCCTCGGCGCGTCCTGATTGGCTGATGCCCTATGACATCACAGACACAGGAAGAGGGCACAAGGCAGTAGTTGTGGTCCCAGATTGGATCCAGATGTAGTATTTGGCCCATTTCCACGCGGCAAACATTCAGTGGGGAAGTTTTGAAACACTTTTTACGTAATAAGAGGGTAAACAAATTTCACTTATCTGTGCAAGAGTTTGAGGCCTGCTTCAGCGGGAGTGTGTCATGGGCTTGAATGTGCAGCTGGGGGAACAGATGGTACTATTTACTACAAAGGGACTGTCCCACTTTAAGCTCCCTGTCCCATTTATGTTCATCACAATGTTGGACTGAAAGCTGCTAAGTAAAAGGACCAGACTTAATTGTATTAGTCTGGAGTGCTGAGTATACTGTAGGATTTACTCGACTGGAAAGTATTTTTTGATACCGCAATGGCTACCAACTATATATTTTCGAATTCTGCTACTAATTCTACTTAATACAATTTGTACTCGTAATACTGCTTATATTATAACAGATGATTCCCAATTAACCTCCTCCCATCAATACTCTGAAAACTACTACTATGACTCCTACTGCTGGTGCTACTACTGTTACAATACCAACAACTACTACAATATCTACAACAAAATCTACTATTTAATACAGTATGAACTAGTGATACTGCACTATTTCAATAAATATAAACAATTCTACTACCAATTAACCTCCTACAACTACTACTACTACTACTGCTGCTACTTCTACTGCTACTGCTGCTGCTGCTGCTGCTGCTGCTACTGCTACAATAACAACTACTACTACAACATCTACTACTTAATACAGTGTGAACTAGTGATACCTCACTATTTCAATAAATATAAATGATTCTACTACCAATTAACCTCCTATCACCACCGCCCCGGCAACAATTACCACTACTACTGCTCCTACTAATACTACTACTACTGCTGCTACTACTGCCACAGTAACAACTACTACTACAATATCTACTATAAAATGTACTACTTAATACAATTTGAACTAGTGATACCGCACTTAATCCAGTAAATATAAATAATTCTACTATCAATTAACCTCCTACCACCACCATCCCAACTACTACTACTACTACTGCTGCTGCTACTTTTACTACTACTATTACTACTACTGCGGCTACTGCTACAATAACAACAACTACTACAACATCTACTACAACATCTACTACTTAATACAGTTTGAACTAGTGATACTGAACTATTTCAAAAAATATAAATGATTCTACTACCAATTAACCTGATACCACCACCACCACCTCAACAGCTACTACTACTACTACTACTACTACTACTACTGCTGCTGCTGCTACTGCTACAATAACTACTACAGCATCTACTACAAAATCTACTATTTGATACATTTTGAACTAGTGATACCTCAGTATTTCAATAAATATAGATGATTTTATTACCAATTAACCTCCTACTACCACCTTCCCAACAACTACTACTACTACTAATACTGCTGCTGCTGCTGCTGCTGCTGCTACAGTAACAACTACTGATACAACATCTACTACAAAATCTACAGTCTGAACTAGTGATACCACACTATTTTGACAAATATAAATGATACTACTACCAGTTAACCTCCTATCACCACCACCACCCCAACAACTACTACTACTACTGCCACTACAACTACTACTACTACTACTACTACTACTACTACTACTACTACTACTACTACTACTGCGTTTGCTACTGTTACTACAACAACAACAACAACAACGACCATTTCTACTGCTTCTACTTTCTCTTACTTGTGTAACTGAACACCAGTGTTTGCATACTGTCATGACCACTGTGCCTCTGAGGTCATGCTTTACTTCTTCATAATTCATGAGTGGATTTCAAAGCTCAAGCCTACTCGTTTTTAGACATAGATACATGACTTTCAGATTGAGGTTAGAAACATGGTGACCTGATAGAGCAGTAGACAATGACATCACCCACACGGCATCACCCTCTCTTACTGTAATCTGTCCAGCTCCTCTCTCTCCCCTGTCCGCCCGCCCGGCCCGATGCGTTTAGGGAGCAGGGGAAATGTGATCGGAGCGTGAGTCAGCGCTCTGAGTGATCTCCACAACAAAAGATCGATGGGTCCCTGAACGCGTCTCCAGCTAATCCCACGTGATGTAATCTGTAGCCGCCTTTGTGAGATGAGGTCACAACAAGAAACCAGGCACATGTTTGTGTTTGCTTAAAGCTGCAGTGCGGAATGTTACTACTGACCCGTTTAGTTGCCACATCTGTTCCCAACGGCAACACCTGGTTAAGAATAGCCTAGTGTTTATTATTTAAAGGTGCATCGTGTGACTTTTTCTGGGGGAGGGTCCGTCAAATGCTTGTCTCTGTGGGATGTTCTTGCTTTGTCTGAAATGTTTCACAGTATGGTGTTAAACATTTCTATCTTCATGGAAACCAAACTGGATGAAGTTACAGGTCAGATCTGTGGAGAGGGAGAGTCAGAATGCCTGTTTTTCTAGGTATTTTGGAGCTATAAAACTACCTGTAACTGAATAAAAGTAAAGTAGAGCTGCTTAATGTCATAGTGTGGAACATTCCAGGCAGAGAAATTGCATATCCATAAAAACAAGCAGGTGACAGATTTGTAACCCCAAAAAAATGACATAGTGCACCTTTAATTAAGGCAAGAAACCATTGGCTAAACTCATCAAATTTTTGGTTTTGAATGTCCTTAAAATGCAAAATTTTTGCAGTTTTTACGCATAAAATGTAATAAATAAATACATTTTTAAATACATTTAAAAGTGGTTTAGAGCTAAAAGTTACTCCAATATCAAAATGACTAATTCTCACCTCTTAAAATCAGCCAGTTGTGATAGTTGCACCTGCTTGTCTCCATGGAGATGTTACTGCTTTGCTTTGAATTTTCCACAGTATGGCATTATACGTATCTATTTAGCATCAGTCCAATTACATGTGTTACCTGGCTCGCCTCTCCAGAAATCGGACCTGTAACTTGCCTGATGGTGTCATCTCCATGAATCTATAGAAGTTCAATGCCATTTGAGGCAAAGCAATAATATCTCCATGGAGATGAGCAGGTGGCAGACCCTTTATCAAAAAAGTTACACAGTGCACCTTTAATAACTTATCCAAA